GCCTCTGGGTACCCTGGGCRAATGGGCCACTGAGTTCCCAGGCCCCTCGAGGGATGCGACAGCAGCTTCACAAAGTGCAGCTCTGCGCATCAGTGAAGGGGCTGCCCCAGCGTTGCCCCCCTGTCCCAACCACATTTTTTCATTTCTTCTCCTAGACAGGATAGGCCCAACTCTTTGGGGAGCCTCTTAGCCTTGTCCCYTTACCTTGAGCCATGAATGAATTTATTCTTTGCCCTGGTTTTGGTCCAGCAGTTTTCCCAGCCCAGCCGTGAGTGAGGTGGGCGGAGGGAAACACTACACCCACCTCTCACTCACTTCTCTCCTGGCCGCTGCAGAGCCAGGCAGCCCTGCACACAATCAATTACAGGGGACGGAAGTGCCCCGTGCCCAATATCCGGTGGGGCTGAGTGATGACAGCCCACTAATCATTTCCAGAATTTGGGATTGGAATTAAAGAGCTGGGTTTGCCTTCAGTGAGTGCGGGAAGGGCAGCTGGGGGAAGGGAGCGGCCCACATTTAGGTAGGGAAGAGACAAAGCTGTGCAGAATATTGCTGTGCTGATGCAGTGATTCAGGCTGAGAGGTGATTTATGATTTTATAGGAGAGAGATGGATGTCCTGTGGGACATGTCGTGACAGTGAGCAGTTACAGCTTTGCTGGACATCAGTCTCCCTTCCCACCCATCACACAYAGCACCTCCACTTCCAACAACTGCTTGGTCCCTCCCCACCTTCTTTAGGTCTTGGGAGGGAGCAGGTCCTGCCTCCACTCTGCCAGCCCAACCAGGAGATCAATTCTGCCTGCTGGCCTGATTTCCCAACACCTCCATGCTCCTTCCCTTCACACCCACTTGTGGCTGGGAGAGGCTTCCCACATATCTTCTCCAGATCTCTTTTTCCACTGAGGTGCTGGAGAGCATAGACAGAGGTCAGCCACTTGCTTTATCCCAGCTGTGAACCTGCCTCACTGAATTTCCTGGTCTTCCCCACATCCCTGGTGGCTGGTGCCAGGGTTGTTGCTTGTCCTACTCTGGGAGAAGCACATCTTTGGAAAGAGCCATCTTTTATAGCTTTGTGTCTCAGCAGGACCCAACAGCACCACAGGGACTCTGTTTGCAGAAAGAGTTSTTGGTCAAAAATCAGCTCCTGCACTTCAGGCACAAGGTGTGGCCCAGTGGTGCAGGACASCAAAAGCAAAAAAAGCCTATGTCACCATGAGATGATCACTCCAGAAGAGATGCAAGGATGTGCTTGCTGATCTGGCTTGTTGCTTTGAGACCTCTGATTTAAAAGCAACCCCAAGAGGTTCTCTAGGATGTTGTGCTTTCTAAAAACAGACCTCTTTTCCCCTGGGAACAAGGTACTCCCATGCTCCTTTTAGGGGTTTCTCTCATTTTTGTGTGAAGGTATAGGTTGGATCTATAAGGTAAGGAAAAAACCTCATAGTCTTTCCATATATCCCACCCTGGTGCCCAGACATGAAGCTCCTCTGAAGGGAGGATAGTGGCAAAGTCCTGTGGAGACAAGCTGGAGAGMGCTATGGAAATGGAAGCCAGCAAGAGGGTGGGACACCTGGAGAGCTGCAAAGAAACTTTTAATTGTTTCAGAGGAAGAAGAGATTGGGCTGTGGAATGGAAATGAATGAGCTGTGYGCAGGGCATGTGCAGGACAGGCAGGAAGCCTTGGGACACTCCTGAAGCAGGGCGGCCAGCTCCCACAAGAGCAACATCTTATGTAATACCCTCGTGTCTGTGCTCCACGCAGAGCTTTAGCAGAAAGCCCCAGTGTTTTGGGATGAGCCTCACTGCCTGATTTCCCAATAAGGTTTTTACAGAAATTACTTGCTCCCAGTTTCAAGCCCCTGCAGATGTAACATGTTTCCAAGCTTCAGGTGGCCACTTTTTCTCRACTGCTGCAGACAGGGCTGGGACATCTTTAGTAGAGAGCATCAGAGTGGGCAATCTTTAGCAGCCTAGCCTGCTAAAGGCTGAGTTTGACAACCTTCTGCGGACCCTGTCTGCCCCAGCTGGGCGAGAAGGATGTTTGCAAAGAGCCTGGGATGAAATCACAGTCTGGGAGGTCTCTCACTCCCCCTTGCAGCCTCGGAGTTGAACTAAGTGCCCTGCTCACACCGTCTTTATAGGCGTTGCTGTTTGATGTGAAATCTCCATCCTGAGCTCAGAGCCTGATAGATACAATTAACAAGTTCAATGTAGAAATTGAGATAAAGAGGATGTCTGCTGGATGCCAGRCCAAGCCCTGCCTGTGATGATGCCAACACACACATTTGAGAGAGCAAATATGTATCAGAAGTGTGAATTAATTATCAAGGCTCATTTATCACCACTCTCCCTCCCTGCTTCTCAGGGAGCCTCACTTTCCGTCTCAGTGCCAGGCTGCACGTACAGGAGCAGGACTCTGGCCAAGGCTTGCCTAGGAGTCCCAGGCATCGTGTTCCCATCTCCATATCCYGGCGGCTCCCTCTTGAGCCTGGCAGGCAGGGCAGAGCTGTGGGGCAAGCCAGGCAGGAGGGTGGCAGCAGYCCACTTGTGCCTTTCACCTGCTCTCATGGGACTTGCTCCTAACAGGTGCCAGCTCCTTGCAGGTGACCATCTGGGATGCAAGTCACTGGCCAACGGGGCTGACCAGAACTGGGGGATGCTGCGGTGCTGGGGCAGTGCTGCAGAGCTTCCAGAAGAGAGATGGTATTTGTGGAGGGCCCAGGTGACAATGGGGGTGACAGTACTGGGGTCTTGGCAGCTGATGTGGGGGAGGAAGGACTCAGATCAGCCCTTCTCAGATGGAGAGTAAAGCAAGGAGAGACCCCAAAGAGAGTTGTGGCATTATAGGTCAGACATTGGGAAAGGCCTCCAGCTGCATTCTGAGGCACAGGGATGCATGGAAACAGGGACGTCTCTGCTCTTCTCCGACTGCCAAGGCCACACTGAGGGAAGGTTCCTCCTTCCAAAGTCCCACTTGAGCACATCCCTGAGCTCACAGCAGAACTGGCTGCCTAAACTAATAGGACTGTGCTCCTCTGGAAATGGAGGCGATGAGGGGTGGGAGAACCCAGTCCTACTGCACTGCCAGGTTCCTCCCCCAGGCAGCCCCATCTCCTGAGCCTTCCCTTGGCTCCTGATGGGCTGCATTCTCCTGTCACCCCACAGTCTCCTCCTCCACCATTGGCCACCAAGAGCTGAGGCTATTGGTGTTGTTCAGATCAGCCTATCTAAGGCTGATCCAGCCTGGGATGTTACTGAGGAGCTGGCAAAAAGGAAAATCATGTGTCACTGCCCAAAGATTCCCTGTATGCTTCAAGAGCAAAATCCCTTTGGCTTGTAAGCAAGATGCAGACAAACCTGTGAGCTTGTTCAGCAGACAGCACCCTGTGTTCACCCTCCTAGTACCCCACCAAGGAGCTTGGTCAGTACCAAAACAAGAATGTAGTACATCCCCAAWGTCTAAAGAGCCCCACAGCTTTCTGAAAGCCCTCATGCTCTGCATGCCCTACAAAATTCTGCAAGCACTGGCCACACTGGAACTGTGGCTAACAGAAGAAGAGGGCTCAGATCTTAAGGGGAAATCAGACAGTGTTAAAATCTTTGGAGACAAAGGACCAGGCTTGGAAGTAAAATAATCCAAGGAAGAGAGAAAGTTTGTAACCAGCTCTCAGAAAGAAGCTTGTGGGAGGACAAGGAGTGTGCTCCAAGGGATGTCATGATRCAAGGTCTGCACAGACACAGCAGTGAGCTGTGTGCAGTGAGCTCTCGGAGCAGCAGCAGGAAAGGGATGCAAGCACAAGTCAGGTGGGCTCTTACAAGTCTAGAGGACAAACACCAGCCAGGCAAATGGAGAAAAGGGCCACCACCTCCTCTCCTGAAACACTGCTCTAGCCCTCACGCACCAAGGGCTTCTGCAAGAAGAACCAGTAGCATCTCCTAGGGAAAGGGATTTGCTCCAACTGCCCAGCTCAGATAACCRGAAATGGGGGATGTCCTTGACACGCTGGCTAATAAAAGATAGCAGCAGCCCAGATACTCAACTTGAGTTGAGAACATGTTCTAAAACACACCCCGGATACTCAACTTAAGTTGAGAACATGTTCTGCACACCACATGTCCCTTGCTCTCCAGTGACATCTGTCTATGTACTCAGCACAGCCACAGCAGGCAGCCCTGATGATGTGTACTACAAGGCAYGGAGACAAGCACAGGGACTGCAGCAAACTGGTGAGCTGCCCAGCACAAAAATTCCCTGTAAGAATTTACTGCAAATGTCTTGACTCCTTTAGCATGTCCCCCAAACACACAGCAGGGTATTGATGGGGAAGATGGGCTCTTGGGCTTATAGGATGTCTGTCCCAGAGAGCATATGTGCTGTCCTTGCAGATGGCATAGCATGCTGCAAAGGACTCTCTATCAGTCCTGAAGGATGTACCCAATCTAGCATTAAATCCAGCTGGCTTGAGTGCCAAGAGCAACAAAGCTCTAGTCCCACAGACTTCAATGTGAGTCATTTACCTCCAGCATGGAGCCTGAACCATGTCCTTTGTGGTGACTAACTATTGGCACCGCTAGCTCAGATGTGTCTATATAAGTTCCATACCTGTCCAGCTGCTGTCCTTTCCTAGAGAATGTGGTCTCACACACAAACAGCCCCTGGGCTCTGCCAGCAGTGCTGTCCTGCCCTGTGCTGCCTCCCCCTGCCTTGACTGATGAGCAGCATTGTTGGTGCTGTGGATGCGATGCCTCAGTTCTCCCTTCCCTGGTGCTGCAGCCAGTCATAGAATCACAGAATCAGTCTGTAGGAACAAGGACTCCCAAGACAACAATGGCAGAAATCCTCATAATGCAATGTGTACAAGCACTGATGCTGGTTGCCACCCTCAGTTCACAACCCTCAACACCTTTCCTTTCTAGGTCCCCAGCATTTTGTTTTCCTCGTCAGGGCAGACTGCTTTTCTTTTGGTTCCTTTTGTTTTGGTTGTTTAAACAGACTCACCTCATGTCAGTACAAGGTTTCCTCGGACATCTCAGTCTCACTGGCTGATGGGCATCTCACACAGTGTATTTGTGCCCGGCCCCACATCCTGAGCAGGATGAGAAAAGTGCTCTTCTGCACGGAGTGTCTGGTGGCTTTGCCCTTCTTGGTCACTGGGAAATAATAACCCATAGGAAAAGCGAAAGAGTACATCTGCGTCCCCTCTGTGAGCAAACCAAACTCAAAGACACCAACCAGACTAGAGTGCAAGACACAGGGGACTCACACAGCTCTTCCCACTGGGAGAGGAGCAACACAAGAGATCTGAGCCATGACATGGCCCCCAAAAACCTTCTCCTTCCCCGCCTGCTTCCTAATACCCYTACCACTGCCACAGGTCCTTCTCTCCTACCTCTGTTTCCCCCTACCCCTGCCAGGTCAGCCCACAGCTGCGCTCATTGGGGGACTTAGTAACGTCCTGACATTTCAGAACTGTGCGGGGTGACCAGGCACAGATCCATACTAGCAGTCAGAGGACAGTGGGATATCTAAACCGCATCCAACAGCACATGGAGAGCAAGGGAAGAGGAAAAAAAGAAAAAAAAAAAAAAGAAAGAAAAAAATGAGAGGGAGAGGGAGAGGAGAAGAAGAGAAGAGAAGAGAAGAGAAGAGAAGAGAAGAGAAGAGAA